TCTTCCCTTTTTTCTTTATACTTACTCCTTTGGCTCTGTTTCAGTTTCTCAGCTTCAAACCCTGTGCTGAATGCTGATGACTCCTCAGTGCTTATCTCAATATGGACCTCTCTGAACACCAATGTGTATTTCTGCCTATCCCACCCTTCCACTTGGATGTCTACAAGGCATCTCAAACCTACATCCACATTCAAACTTTTGATTCCCTCCTCAACCTACTTCGAAATGTTCCCCATCTCAGTACGTGGCAACCCCATCCTTCTAGCCATTCAGGTCAAAATTTTGCAGTTATTCTTCACTCCTGTCTTTTTCTCATGTGACACATCCAGTACATCAGCTTTTCCAGAATCTTACCACTTCTCACCACATTCACTGACATGCCACCCTGGGCCTGGCCATCATCTCTTCTTCTTCTCCTCCTCCTCCTCTTTCTCTGCCCCCTCCCCCTCCTTCTTCTTCTCCTTCTTCTTCTCCTTCTTCTTCTCCTTCTTCTTCTTCTTCTTCTTCTTCTTCTTCTTCTTCTTCTTCTTCTTCTTCTTCTTCTTCTTCTTCTTTTGCTACGATTATTTTAATAGCCTCCTAACTGACCTCCCTGCTTCCACCTGGGTCCCATCAGTTTAGTTGTAACATAGCATAATTAACATATTTCACATCAGGTGACATCTCTGCTCTCGACTTCCCAGAGGCTTCCCATTTCAGAGTAGAAACCAGAGAATTTAGACTGGCCTATACAAGCCCTACCTAATCTGTCCCTCCACCCACCATCTATCTGTCCTTAACTCCTACCACACACCCCTCACTCACTCTGCTCCAACTGCACCTGTCCCTTGCCCTATCCAGAACAATCTGGCATGCTCCCTCTTCAGGGCCTCTGCACCTGCTACCTGGAATGCCCTTCCCCCATGTAATTCTGCGTGGCTGTCCTCCTCTCTTCAATAATTTTTTTTTCTTTATCCCAAAGTCACTTTTTCAAGGAGGCCTTCTTTGATGGCATTATTAAAAATTGTAACCTCCCCCATGACATTCCGTATTCCTATTTACTGACTTCTTTTTCTCTATGACACTATCACCTAATAGACTCTAGAGTTTGTCTCTCCGTCTTCCCCCCGACCAGAAAGAAAGCCCCAAAGGAGCAGGGACTTATTTTCCTCCTTCACTACAGTATCCTCACTGCCTGAAACAATACCCGACACAGAGTAAGCACCCAATAAATTTTTGTTGAATGAACGAATGAATTCCAGTTTGTGTTGAGACCAAGTAGCAAATCCAGATGTGCATTAGAGAAATAAAATGGTGTATTGTTTCCAGGTGGATTGTACAAGTGATTTAACTTTAGCACCACTGATGTAAAAGCCATCCTTGCATTGCACATGTCCATATGTCTTCTCTATAAGTTCTCTGTATGCAGGTTGCTTAATGCAGTAAGTAAATAAGTAAGCAAATACTGAGCGAGTGGAGGGAAGGCTTTGTGTCCTGGCGGCAGTTTGTGTATCCGTTACGTTTAAGTCTTGTCCCTGGTATCTTGCCAAGAAGTGCCCAGTGGTATTCCATAGCTTCTACATTGTGCTCTTCCCCTCTGGGTATAGCTCGGTGACTATTCCAGTACCGTGGATTCATCCTATCAGTCCTTCCACTTCTTATTGGGCTTGTGATTCTTTCTTCATTGTTCTTGGTCTTTGTCCCTTGAAGTTTCTTTTTGCCCCTCCAACATTTCATTAGTGTCTCTTCTATAGCTTTTCAGTGTGCTTAAATATAATTCAGCATTTTTCCCATCTTAAATTTGTTAAATATTTAAGTAAAAAACAGCTAAAAAAACTTTAAAAGTTCAAAGTAGTGAGGGTTGTAAGAGGTCTAAATATAATTTCAAAACGATAAATCAAATAAGCACTGAGAAATCCATACAGTTCTTATACACAGTCACTGCCCACTCCTGTCATTGCCAACACATGTAAATGAACAAAGTGGTTTTTATGAGCTGTCTGGATGTGTCTGCATTCATTGGCCCTGGAAATCCCCGCACTTAGCTCAACCATGAGGAAATACAGGTAAACATTTTGAGTCTATAAAATTCACAAACAGTATTAAGACTGTAGGTCTTTTTCACTTACAGCTTCTATCTATTGCCTCACACTCTATTTGCTCTATGTCCTTCTACCATGAAGAACCCAGCCCTTGTACTCAGACATGATTTTGAACATAGTTTTGCCTCTTATGGGCTGAGTCTCATTTCCCACCACCAACTCTTTTAAGATAAGGTTGATAGTTCCACCTCTCAAGGCTGTGGTGAGAATCCCATTCATAGGGTCTTGGTGTTTAACAATAAAATAATAAAATTAATAATAATGGTAAAATTGCTTTTGTTATTATTGTAATCATACTCTAGATATAATATTAAATATGGAAACTCCCAGGCATGCACAAAAGTGCAGAGAATAGCTTATTGGATCTCCAAGTACCCAGCTTCAACAGTTATCTGTGGCCATGCTAATCTTGTTTCACCTGTCCATGCTAAAGATTTTATTTATTTATTTGACAGAGAGAGACACAGAGAGAGAGGGAACACAAGCAGGGGGAGAGGGAGAGGGAGAAGCAGGTTTCCCGCGGAGCAGGGAGCCCAATGCCGGGCTGGATCCCAGGACCCTGGGATCATGACCTGAGCCGAAGGCAGACACTTAACGACTGAGCCACCCAGGCGCCCCTCCAGATTATTTTTAAATAGGTCACAGATATCATGTCATTCACTCATAAATATTCTGGTATGTATCTCTGAAGGATATTCTTTTTAAAAATAACCATAAAATATCATTATCAGAGTATCATTCTTAAATACTATCAAATACCCCCTTAGTATTCAAATTGCCCAATTGTCACATAGGGTTTTCTTTTTTTAACAGTTTAGGTCAGTATCCAAATAAGGTCTATACCCTTGAATATTTTATTAGAGATACAATTTTTTTTTTTCAAGATTGTATTTATTTGCGAGAGAGAGAATGAGAGACAGAGAGCATGAGAGGGAGGAGGGTCAGAGGGAGAAGCAGACTCCCTGCCGAGCAGGGAGCCCGATGCGGAACTCGATCCCGGGACCCCAGGATCACGACCTGAGCCGAAGGCAGTCGCTTAACCAACTGAGCCACCCAGGCGCCCTTATTGGAGATATGATTAAGGTGTGGGCAGAGTTTTGCTGTAAGATTGTCCATTGCAGTGTTGTCTAGAATGGAGAAAAGCAAAATATTCATTGTAGATTAGGGGATTGGAGTATGACCTGACAATAGAACCGTACACAGCAATTTAAAACAATACTGTAGAAAGACTATGTAATGAACAGAAAAGGTATTGGTAAGTGAAAAAGGCAGGTTATAAAACAGTATTTACACTTTCTATTTTTGTTAATAAAATATATATCTGAATGGTGGGGGAAATGAATGATTTTCTCTCTTCAATTTTAGAATCAAAATTTCTCATCTTTCTATTGTGATCATGTATTCCTTGTGTAATAAAAAGCTATTAAAAATAAAACTGCAGCAGAAGGCATCTGGACGGTTGTCTGGTTTCACATAGCGTTCGTTCTATTTGAGTTGTTAAGCTCTCTTCTCCCCATGTGTTTTCTCATGTGATTTGAAGAGCAGTCCTCAGAGGTAGGAAGCAGCAGAAGCCCTGACAGGGTCTGTGCCTTCCCCTGAGGCTATCACACAGCTCCACAAAAGCGCATTCAGTTGGCTACTGTTCACCCTTGGGACACATGATCTCATGCGCACTCCGCGTGCCATCCTGGGAAGGTGGGAGGCAGAGCTGTGCTAGGACACGTCTTCCTTTTAAGGGGGGAACCGAGTCTCAGAGAGCCTGACTTTTGCTCACACCAACCCTCAGGTTAGTTGTAGGGCCAAGTTTTGGTCTAGATGTCTGGTGCTGGCCATAACCATGAGACTACGTTTTGCATCCCTTCAAAATTGCAACATTTCAGTGTAGGTGTGCGAGGGGCAGGACCTACTTATGTTTGGCCAAGGGAGTGCTTAATCCTGTCTCAGTGTAATGCACCATGCTGCATTCTGTGGTTCAGGATCTGACCAAACTTGCTTGGGTTCTCCACACCCATTTAGGGAAGGATTGGCTTCTGCTTGTCTTTGCTTTCTGTAAAATATTCACGTTTTGTCCACTGTCACCTCCTCTAACCTTTGCTGCTTGCTGATGTCTGCAGCCCCCAAGTCCCTCTCGGTGAGTGTCCCTTGCACTCAGCTCATGCCTTCTATGGCACTCTGAGCCCTCAGCCAGAACCTGGGGGGTCCGCCTGCTGCCCCTGCACCAAGCCCTCCCCACCCCCCACCATGTTCCTGCTTCCACAGTCCCCTCTTGGCTGTGCTCTGGCTGGACTCCAGCTGGTTCTGACTCCTCCTTCTCTGAATCCTTATCTGTACCCTGCAATTTGGTTGTATATTTCTTGTTCTTTATGTCCACCTTTCCTCCCCCTAAAAGACCACGGGCTCCTTGCAGGCAGACACTATTAATAATGATGGCAATGACAACAGTTCTGATGGGTCACTGGGCCCTTCTTGTGTACCAGGCCCACAGCTGAGTGATTTACATAATTTCTCATTCAGTATTTATTGTCTCATTTGACAGATGAAGAAATCGCAGCTCTGAGAGGTTGAGTAACTTGTCCAAGATCACCCAGCTAGAAAGTGATAGAACTGGAATTTTAACCAAATCTGTCTGACTGTAAAGCCCATGCTTTTCCACACTGTGCATACTCTTTGTCACTGTTGGTTGTTTGATTCAGATTTCCTTGAGTGCTCTTCACAGTGGCATCTCTGAGGTTTTCATCGGGTGGTAGAAAAGCCGCCTGTCAATAAGAGAGCAGATAGTATTCTCCGTAGCCCAGATGGTTGGTTGGGATGAGAACACTCCAAGCTCCCTGTGTGTTCTTCCCACCCCCACTTTCTTGCCTCTGCACACCCTTCGCTGCCCCACAACCTCTCTCTCTCTCTCTCTCTCTCTCTCTCTCTCATTCCTTTCCCTGGGGACACCTGAGCAGCCAGAGGACTCTCCCTAGATGATCGGGGATCTTCTACGGGTCTAATATCTTTTGATAGAGTTGGTAAGAAAATGGAGCCATGGATCAGCCAAAGTCCCCGCAGAGAGAATCCAGACTGAAGACGAACCCCCGTACTCCTTTCCCATCACAGCTCACCTTCCCTTCCCCCAGTCAGAATCCTTGTTTGGGGGCTCCCAAGCCTCTGGGCTCAGCCCCACCCCTCTCCCAGCATCCTAAAGTTCGGGGGCTGCATTCAAGCGAGAGATTTCCAAGTCGAGGTGTGTTGGAGGGACTTCTGAGGGCAGCTTGTTCTGGAAGAACGGGGGGGAAAGTGGCAGCCACCGCCGCTGTCTCTGAGGACATCAGCGGAGCTTCCTGGGAGACCCTCTGCCCTTTCCCCTCCCACCAGCCCAGGCGAGCAGGGACCAAGCTTGCTTATTGTCACCTGACGCTGGGCAGCCTCTGATCCCATTGGTGGAGCCAGATTCGGTCTGGCTCTCCCGTTCTTTCTCGCCTTCTCTGCCTCTCACTCTCCTCCACGCTGCTGTGATTTCGCTCTTGCCTCCCCTTGCGCTCGGCTGGGAAGATCGCCTGTCTGGGGGCAGTAGCCGTGCGCTGCAGAGCCAGGCAGGAGCTGCCTGCGGGGCATGGAAGAAGCCTCTTTGGCAGCCTCGAGAGGAGCGGGAGGAGCGAGCGAGCGCCGCTGCCTGTGACCCCGGCATCGCCGCTGCCCCTCTCCCTGGGGAGAGCACGTCCGCACAGAGAGCTCTCCCTTCCCTCCCTTCCAGGTCTTCCTCTGCAGAGCCCCGTGGAGCCAGGTGAGTGCCCTTCCTCCCAGAGCATCCCGCTGTCAATTCTGAGAGGGACTGAGGGGGCAAGGGGCTAGGAGCTGGGGGCACCAGGGGCCAGCCACTGCCCACGGTGCCCACCTGGATTGCCAGGGCCAACGACCTTGTCCCCTGTCCCCCAGGGCCTTGGCAAAGGGATTAACAGCTGGGTCCCGTCCCCAGGGGCACCACAGTTAGTCACCCCGTGACCATTCTGCTGCAGTCAGCGATGCCAACAGGGAGAGTGGGGTGGGGGAAGATTCCCCCCCGGCTTGTGGGTGGCTTTTCTGGAGGGGCATGGGCAAGGGGTATCGGTGTGTACAGCACGTATGCATGCTTGCAAGGCCACTGGAGGTTTGCTTGCGTAGATAGTTCTGTATGCACACACTTAGGCTCTTGTGTGGGTTTCCACTGCTGGGTGGCATGTTTAGGGACATATGTTTCTTGTACACGTGAGCTACGTGTGTGGGGGGATCACTTATCCGAGTAGCCTCTGGGTTGTGTGGGTGGGGGCAGCGTGAGGCAGTATATTTATGGGGTGGACATACCACTTGTCATGGGTGTGGGAGGACATGTTGAGGGAGGGAGTGCATGTAACCAAAGGGTTTCTGTGTGGGGAGGGGCAGCTCCAGAGCAGAAAGGGGTAGGTAGGTGGAGAGCGTGGGCAGAAGCCACTGTCCATGCGCAGACCCACATAGGTGTGCAGACCTGTCGGCATGTGGAGGATCAGGGCTGGCAGAGTGTGGCCAGGGACAAACCACGTTTTCAAAGTCTGGGTCTTTGAGCCTGGAGAAGCTTGGAGAGAGAATACCAGAATCTGGGCAGGGGTTGACGTGCGTGTGAGTGTACATGCGTGTGCAAGCCAGCATACGGGTCGCATGCCTTCTGTGGAGGTAGCACACGTGCATGTTGGCGCCTGTGGCTTTCTTTTTTTTTCCCCAAATATGGCTTGCGAGAAGGTGTGCATATATGTGTGTGCGTGAGCCTCTGGACTTCAACACGTGTGCGTCTGTGTGGAGGTGACAGCTTGTAGAGGGAAAACTGTGGGGCATTCTTAGACTGTGGAAGGGGGTGGAGGCACCTGAGTGCGTAGGTGAGTGCGTGGGACCGAGAAGGTCCGAGGAGGTGTGTGCAGCCCTTGTGTGGCAGGTGTGGGTGGGCACACTTGGTGCATGTGTGCGTGTGTGCGTCTGCGTGTGCACTCATGTTCCTGCCTGTGTGTGGGTGTGTAAATGCTTGTCTTGGCAGTGCGGGTGTTCCTCAGGTGCTGTCTCAACCTGTCCCTCACACCCTGACCTTCCCCAGTCATGGGCTTGGAGAAATGGGGCTCACACCCACCCTTGGTCCACCCTGGCATTGCTGTTCTCCCAAGTGTCACTCACGGCCACTCTCCCCAGCTAGCACGGGGGAGTAATCTTAGCTCTTCTAGAACTGTAGAAAGGAAAGGATGAGCCAGGTCCTGCGGAGCCCCCCCGCCACATGGCTGGCCCTGTCTCTGGGGGAGAGTCTGAGGAGAGGAGTACTGAGGCAGGAATAGGTGCCCACCTGTGGGGTAGGCATAGATTGAATCTGCTGTGGGTGGGAGGTGGTCCCTCAGGTCCTCTGTGGGGTGGGAGTGTGTCTGTGTTGGTGTGTTGTGTTGGTGCATGTGTGTGTGTGTGCATGTGGGTGCATGCGTGTATCTCCCTGGGGAGCTCCTCACTGGGAGCCCAGAGGATGGCAACTCCCCCAGTCTCCACATCTGTCCCCATGAGTTATAAACTGGTTTATTATCATACAGCTGTTTCCCAATCCTATTCTGCTTTTCTCAGGGATGGACTTGGTAGCACCCCCATGCTTGTTTACCACAGGATTCCCTGCGCACAAGCCTCTGACATTTGGCTAAATTTCACGACAGGCAGGCTCGTAATTTAGGGTAGGAAGCCAAAAGGAAACATGGGCTCAGGGAGCACCCTGGAACGGGTGAAGGGCATCACCCATATCCTTCCCCCTATGCCTGCCACTCAGGCAGCCCACGGATGAATTTAGAGATACCAGGCTCCACAACAGATTAACTGACAGGCAAGTGTGGGTTGGATCTTCTGGAAGCTATAAATAGAAGTCCCTGCTTTCGAAGGCACAAGGTACCCTCACCCCTCCCGCCTGGGCAAAGAGAGGAGAAGAAGCAGAAAGGGGAGGAAAGGAAACAACATTCCAGAAAGCTGAGGTGTGCTGGGACGGGGCTTGGGAATGAACCGGGAAACCACGAGCTCCACTGGGCACTAAGCAAATGCCCGGGAGCTAGTCCAACCCACGTTCGTGTTCTTGTCCCAGAGACAGTCCCGCCCCGCTCCCTCCCCATCTCTCTTCCCACCCTGTCCCAGAGCCAGGCCACAATCAGGGCCAGAGTTGGCTCTTCCTAGCTAAAGCCCAGGTGAGTGCCAGGGTGTGGACTAGCAGCCCAGGGGGAAGCGAAGGGGTGAGAAAAGAGGAAAGGTGAGAGAAAATGTAGCTACTGGAAAGGGAAGGATAGAAGGAAGAAAGATAAATAACAGTGAAACCATGTGTAGCTACGCATATACACATGGCACGTATCACACACACACTCACATGTGCGCATACAGCCTTTGCTTAATGATAGAGAGTTTGGGCTCTGGGGGCCCCTGGGTGGCTCGGTCGTTAAGCGTCTGCCTTCGGCTCAGGTCAGGATCCCGGGGTGCTGGGATCGAGCCCCGCGTCGGGCTCCGCGGGAAGCCTGCTTCTCCCTCTCCCGCTCCCCCTGCTTGTGTTCCCTCTCTCACTGTGTCTTTCTGTCAAATAAATAAAAAAGATCTGAAAAAAAAAAAAAAGAATTTGGGCTCTGGAGTCAGATGTGAGTTCAAATCACTTTATAGCTGCATGACCTCTAGCATCTCGGTATCGCCCCAACCTCAGTGAACTCATCTGTAAAATGGGGATAATAAAAGTACCTACCTACGGCGAGGCTTGCATGGGATGATGCTTGGGCGATTATCGCCACATATCAGCCTGTCGTAGATGTCAAAGGCAAAACGAATTATTCAAATGAGTCAAACAACAGAGGATCAGCTGAAAGGGAAGAGTGATAGTTGCAAAGTTAGGGGCGGGAGAAGATCTGTGGCCCATGCTGCCCCCTCCCACCACTGGCGTATCCACGTGCATCTCCGTGGCGCTTGGACTCCCAGCTTGGTCTTGGTGACCCTCCCTGAGTCACCCCGAGGGAGAAGGGAGGCCTGAGCCTGAGCGACCTGGCACCCTTGGCCTCTTGGCTGCCAGGGCCCTCTGCCCACCTCAACCCTCACACGGGTCTCCTCAGTGGGCGCTTCCTATCTCTCCTACCCGGCCTCATACAGTTCTCTCCACCCCCACCCCTTCCTCTTTTCACGCCTGCTGGCTGAGGGCCCCCCTCCTCGGCTCCATCTGCTGTGAATCTGTCCTGCCCGGTGTTTGCAGCATTCCCACTGCCTCTGCCACCTGTCAGGTGCCGTCTGCTCTGCAGACCCCTCTGAGGAGAGCCAAGAGCCCCCCTAGGGGGGATACCCCATCTCACCCTTGGTCCTACCCCTCCATCTTCCCATGCACTCTTCCCATCTGATTTGATGAGGCAGGTGCAATCAGTGGATTTCCAAGGTTCCAATTTGCAAGGGATGCTGGGAGCAAGACATTCCAGAAAACTCTGGTGGGGAGGAAGGGGCTACTGCTTCCTCTCCTCTCAGTCCCCACAGGAGCCAAGCCAGAGGGGAGCATGGAGCTGCTGTCCACGCCCCACAGCATCGAGGTCAACAACATCACCTGTGACTCCTTCCGCATCTCCTGGGCCATGGAGAACAGTGACCTGGAGAGGGTCACCCATTACTTCATTGACCTTAACAAGAAGGAGAACAAGAACTCCAACAAGTTCAAGCACCGGGTGAGTGGAGGGTGCACAGAGGGCCTCTTGCTTGCTCATACCCCTCCTTGAAGGAGGCAGGGTAATGGAGCGCTTGCTGGTGGGTGATGGTTGGGAGTCCGACAGGCCTGGTTCAAACCCAGGCTCTTGTCCCAGTGTAATCTGAGGAAAGTTATTTAGCCTCACTGAGCCCAAGTTCCTTCACTGGTAAAAAGGGAACAATAATGCCAGCCCCCGCAGGCTTGTGAGAGGCTTCAGTGAGGTAATGTTTGCGTGGTGTCTGGCTTGGGGCCCAGCCCCCGTGAACGCCATTATCGGCATCACGACTGGGGCTTCAGACGGGGCGGGAAAACCTGAGGGGGGCCACAGACATCACACCGGGGGCTGGAGTCTCAGGGTATGACAAAGCCCCCGACTCAGGAAGCAGCTTTGTTGTTGACTGTGTGGGCAACGTGGGCCATGGGAGGGCTGGGGCCCTTTGCTTGGTCCTCATTGACCCCTCTTGGGCCGCCGTGATCCTCTCTGCCCCTGGCCCTCCGGCCTACTGGTGGCTGGGTTTAAGAAAGCAGCATGGGAGAGTCCTCTGCTGGCTGGGGTGTCCTTTCCCTGGGTTAAAGCCGGGATGGGGGTGGGTGGGGAGAAGGCTCCCATCTCCTCAAGCTGGCAGAGAGGAAGGGGGAAGAGTGAGGTGGGAAGGAGCTGGTTCCCACGACGACTGCATCATGTGGGTTACTCACCCTCTCTCTCTTTGGAACTGGCTCTCCCGATCTGGGTGTCTTTTGGCAGGCCAGTTGCCACGGTGACGTGAATGTTCAACACCACCCCCTTAACCCTCCCCCCCCAAAGAATAAGGCATATTTTCCCTTCCTCCCTGGCTCTCAGCATTTGCCGTTGCCGTGGAGACAGCACTGCAGTGTGCAGAGCTCTCGAAGTCTCCCTCAAAAACGGAGGTCTCGCCGCCCTCAACTTTTCGGCCTCCACCCCCGTGGCCTTTCTCCTTAGTTCCCAAGAGAATGGGCATCAGGGGGCATTACTGAGGGGTGGAGGGCTGGGGGGTATCTGTATGGCCTTCCCAATGGCCACTGCTTGCTTCCGCAGGAAAATGGTGGCCAGGGCGCCGAGCCACTGAATCTCTGAGATTTTGGCCCTCCTCGGGCAGCCTAGGGGCCGTCTGGGGAGCGTGAGGTCTGGAGGAATGCCAAGATTGGGCGCGACCCCCAGTTTGACTCTCGGCTCTTCTGCATCCCATTTCTCAGGATGTCCCCACCAAGCTTGTGGCCAAAGCCGTGCCACTGCCCATGACAGTAAGAGGCCACTGGTTCCTGAGCCCCCGCACGGAGTACAGCGTGGCCGTGCAGACGGCCGTGAAGCAGAGTGACGGGGAGTACCTGGTGTCCGGCTGGAGCGAGACGGTCGAGTTCTGCACCGGGGGTGAGGCTGTGCTGTCTCGCTGCTTTGACACATCGGTCTTAGTTAGGGTCGGGAGGGGGCTGCGTCTTAACCCAGCAGACGCTATGAGCACCTGCTGAACGCGGGCACCATGCTTCGGCCATCAGGGAGGCACCCCAACGAGATCCGCCCCCGCCCCCCGCCAAGCCCACAGTCTGACATGGAGGGGGGGGGAGGCAGACGTCATCACGGCTGGTTGGGCTGCCAACACCGCTTCCGAACAGGGATGCTCTTCCTTTTCGGGCTCGGGGCAAGCATGCCGTTTTGAATCGTGGTAAAATACCCATAACACAAAGTTTCCCGTTTTAACCAGTTAAGCGTGTGGGTCAGTAGTATTAAGTACGTTCACAGTGGTTGTGCAACCAATCTCCAGAACTTTGTCATCTTCCCAAACTGAAACTCTACACCCACTACACGACAGCTCTCCTCCTCACTTCAGCCCCTGGCAACCACCATTTCACTTGTGTCTCTGTAACTTTGACTCCTCTCGGTAGCTCCTGCGAGGGGGATCACGCAGCATTTGTCCTTCTGTGACTGGAGCATTAGTTCCGTTATTTCACTCAGCATCATGTCTTCAAGGTTCATCCATGTTGAGCATGTGTCAGAATGTCCTTCCTTTTTAAGGCTCAATAATATCCCATTGTATGTATAGACCACACTTTGTTTATCCATGATAGGTCGAAGGACAGTCACTAAGTAATAATAATAATAATCCCATTTGCTCATCCTGAGCCCCCACTTAGCCTGGGAACCTGACCCCTACTTAGGGGTCCTGCAAACCCTCTTAGCAGAATTAAGTTGGCAAATTCCAGTATGAACAAGCACCAGGCTTATGTGTACCTGGTAATGGATGACCCAGGATCTGCCCCACAAATAGTCCACTCTTTAGGTGTCCACAGGGGGAACCGCTCCAGATCTCTCTCTGTCACAGGGAAGGGGCAGGGAACATTCCTAGCCCCGGGCCCCTGAGGCTGCTGGCTCCATCCTCTGCCAAGGCCCATGCCCTAAGTCTCCTTGAGTTGCCATTCTTTTTCGAGCGGTGCTTTTTCTTAGCTCGGCTGCAAAACCCCACTCTGGAGGTGCTCCCACTCCTTGCGGGAAAAGCCTCTTGGTTTACCCCAGAACTCCACATGTAGTGGGAGTTTAATTCAAACTGGGGAGCTGGGGATGGCTGCAGTCCAGTCCCCACTACTCTTGCCAAACCCAGCACCCTGGCCAGGGCTGCATCAGCAAGGAGGAAAGGGCACCTTTTTCTAATTTGTACAAAGGCCCTGTCTTGGCTGGCAGCAGCCCTGCCTGAGCCTCAGGGCCCCAGACGCTGGTCCTGGCCCTGGGAGGTGTCTGGTCTTACCATCCTGTCTCCAGCCTTCCCTGCTTCTCCCAGGATGCCGAAGCAGTCACTGCCTCCGACCCTGCTCTGGCTACCCACTCACGTCAGTGCTCAGCAGGCTCCTTGTGAGCCCCTACCTATAATGACAACTGGCTTCCGTGCGGGTGGTATGGATGGCCTCCTACCTGCTGGATTTGGGGAGCTCCCCCTAGGGGACCTCAAATTCTCCCCTCTCAATCCTTCTTTTGCTTGCTGGTGTTCTTCACATGAGGATGGCCAGGGATCACAGCTCCTGGGGCCCCCAGCATGACTGTCTAACTGGGCAGCCCCTGCCCCTTTCTGACTCAGAGAGCTGAGCCTCTGGCAATGAGAGTGCAGGGGTGATGAGGACAAACAGCATCCAGCTGTCCATGTTCCCAGCTGGGCCACCTGGCTTGCTCCTATGTGGTCCAAGGTGCTGTGACTGTTTGGTATCCCCTGTTGCTCTGAGGACGGAGGTGGGCTGACATACTTCGTGTGCAGTGGGTGAGTGTGGGGGCATGAGGCTATGATACCCAGCCTGGCCCTTACCAGCCGGGACTCTTGCAGATTATGCCAAGGAGCACCTGGCCCAGCTGCAGGAGAAGGCTGAGCAGATTGCAGGCCGCATGCTCCGCTTCTCCGTCTTCTACCGCAACCACCACAAGGAGTACTTCCAGCACGCCAGGTACGGCGTGGCCCCCCGCAGGGGCCTGGGTCTCGCCTTCCGCCCCTGGCTCTGCTTTGCCTGGACAGCCCTGGCTGTCTGACGTCACGCCCACCTTGTCTTTGCCAGACCCTCCTACGGAGTCCCTATGGCCTCTTATCACAGGCTGGCTCTGGGGGGATGGCTGGCTGCTGGGGATTGGGCTCCAGGGGAGGAGAGAGCTCTCAGGACGGGGATGCCTGGGGGAACCATGCGAACTGGCCTGGGTGAACAAGATCTTGGGTTTGCTCCTCCTTTGGGACAGTTCCTTTCACTGGCTTCTAATGCCAAGGGTCAGCTGTCTCTCCAGTTCAGGCCCTGGGTCCCAGGGGGAGGTGGTGAGGGGAGCACAGGGTGAGAGGATTCTGTGCATGAAGGGTCCTAGTTTTCAAACTGTGTGCTGCGGAGGCTGGAGGCTCTAGGGAGGTGTCACAGGGCATTTTAGGGGGGTATTGAGGGGTTGTTGAGGAAATTAGGGTGAGGCTCGGTGGGCCCCACATCTATCGATCAACTGGAGCAGCTTCAATTTCACTGCTTATCGACTGCCTATGTATAATATCTTTTGGGGAAGAAAGAGAGGGGCTCTCTAGTCCAAAAATATTTGATCCAATTGATGATCTGGTCCAACCCTTTCAGCCTACAGATGGGGAGCCTGAGGCGCAGAGAGCCAGTAAGTCACTAGTCACCTGGGACATCCAGGACCTGGCAAGGGTGAAGCCGGGTCTGGGGCTGCCCACCCTCCCAGGCCTGCTGACACCGCCCCAAGTCCATGTCCTTCTAAGGCTGGGCTAGGGCAACCTGTTAGTCTTACTGTCTTTGTCATTGCATTCAGCTGGGGGTGGGGTGCTCCCACCCTACCCCAGCATGGCAGGGAGCTAATGGGGTCTTTGGTTTTTGTACTAAAGAAGAGAGGCAGCAAGGTGAGTGGTGAGCACACTGGCCCAGTTCCAGCTCCTTTCTCAGCAAGCACGCAAGAGAGAGAAAGCACCCATATGTGCCAGGATGTAAAGATGAATAAAGGGCAGAGTCCCCCCTCTTGAAAACCTCAGAGTCTATCAGCGGGACAGTACAGACAGATGGAATGTAAGAAGTACGTGTGATTGTTGGGTAAAATTCAGTACCTGCACGTAGTAGGCAAAGTTTTGTTGAACACAAGTGCCTGATGTTCCTGGAAGATTTTGGAGAGGAGGGGACACCTGTGCTGGGCCTGGAAGGATGATTAGGAGTTTGCTGGGCCAGGTGAAGAGAGGTCCAGGGAAAGGCAGTCCAGGCAGAGGGAAGAGCACTGCAAAGGCACAGAGGCAGGAAAGTTGGGGTTCACGTGTGGCTGGAGAATGTTACTTGTGGGTGTGGGGGTGGTGGGAGGTGGGGTCAGAAAGACCAGACCTTGATGGCCTTGCTTTTCATGAAAGCTCCATCAAAGGGTTTTAAGATGGGGAGTGGTAGGTTCAGACCTCTCCTCTGTGAAGGAGTGGCTTGCATCAGCCCATCTCCAGGGCTCTCCCTGCTCTCACATTCTGGAATGTTCTATTTGCGACTGATGGAGGCGGCAGCTGGTGGGAGAGCTGGGAGCTGGGCTGGCTTCCTTCTCAACCACACACAGCAGCCAAGCGTCAGCCCAGCTAACCAGCGGCATTTTCTCTTCCCTTTGGCATTTTTCCCCGGGGTGGGTAGGACCCACTGCGGGAACATGCTGCAGCCCTACCTGAAGGACAACAGCGGCAGCCATGGCTCCCCAACCAGCGGCATGCTCCACGGGGTCTTCTTCAGCTGCAACACAGAGTTCAACACAGGCCAGCCTCCTCAGGACTCCCCCTATGGCCGCTGGCGCTTCCAGATCCCTGCCCAGCGCCTTTTCAACCCCAGCACCAACCTCTACTTTGCGGACTTCTACTGTATGTACACAGCTTACCACTATGCCATTCTGGTGCTGGCCCCCAAGGGCTCCCTGGGGGACCGCTTCTGCCGTGACCGCCTGCCCCTCCTGGACATTGCCTGCAACAAGTTCCTGACCTGCAGCGTGGAGGATGGGGAGCTGATCTTCCGCCATGCCCAGGACCTCATCCTGGAGATCATCTATACCGAGCCCGTTGACCTGTCCCTGGGCACCCTGGGGGAGATCAGCGGGCACCAGCTCATGAGCCTGTCCACTGCTGACGCCAAGAAAGACCCCAGCTGCAAGACCTGCAACATCAGTGTGGGCCGCTAGGGACTCCTGGGGAGCTGGGGGGCTAGGGAGAGATGACAGGCAGGGTGGCGATAGGTGGCATAGGTTCAGGGAGCTAGCTTTCTCTCCCCTGCCGCCCCCAGCTCCCTCCACGCCACAGCCTCCCCCTTTCCCACCCCGTGGCATTAGAGGCAACAGAGGGTGTCCCCTTGGTAGGCGTGGCCTATTCACCCCTGGTGGACTTGGTAACGCTTCTTAGCCTCCGTAGGTTGGTGGAAGGAGGGTAGATTTCTGAAGATTTCCCCATTCCTGGTTTCCCTGTCCTGCTGTTTCTTGCTTCATCCCGGCCTCCACCTCATGGAAACTTACAGCCTGGGGGCTGTCACTGAGCAGCCACCCCGGGCCAGAGCCCACGTGTTGCTTGCCCGCCCCCAGAGGCGCTGCAGAGAGCTGCGGGTGCTCCTCTCCAGCCCCGCCCACCCCACTCAGGGCCAACCACAGGATACCCCTCCCCTCTGTGCCGGCCCGGGGGCCTTCTGACTCCAGGCCTGGCCCTTTCCCTTTATACATAGTCTCCTGCACCGCTCTGACCCCCCCCCAGCACCCTCTTCCTGCATGGGGAGAGCTGTCCCTCCCCTTCTCCACCTGCCCTCTAGAAAGGGGCCCTCTTTTTCCTCCTGGCTTTGGGGGCTCCGGGCTGTTGGGACTTTTCCTTTCTCCTCTGGAGATGATGTGTGCCCCAGCGTACCTTCTCCCTTGCTCAGAGCACTGAGGTCTGCGGTGGCAGCCACTGGGGTCGAGGAGGGGGCCAGAGACCCCTGAGACCCAGAGGTAACCCTTCTCAGCCGGAAGGGGGCCGCCTCCTGCCCCGAGGGGACCCAGTGTGGAACTAGAATTGAGGGCTTTCCCAAGAGCCCCGGCACCCTGCCTGACTGTGCGCTTTGCTCGCTCTCTCTGCCACGGGGCCGTGACTGCACCGTGCCTGCGTGTGATCTGGACTGTGGCTTCCCTGCCACCGCACCTCACGCCCCGCCCACCGGCACCGTCTGCTGCCCACCGCCAGCCCGTTGGCAGAGAGCCCCTTCCCTGGGGAGTTCTTGGAGATGGCTTCCTGGGCCTCCCAGCGTTTTTGCCTATTTCCTACTTTGGTATGGGTCATGAGGGTGGTGAGGGTGGACCCCTGGAATAAACGAACCAAGTCGGGGGGCAGGTGGAGGTGTGCATGGAGGCAGCTAGCTGTTCAGGGGATGGTGGAGGTGATGGCAGGCAGAGGACAGCAGCCCCCACAGTGACAGCCAGATCCCCGTGATGAAGTACCGAAGGGGCCAGAAGGCCAACAAGGCCATATCTCAGTAAGGGCACAGGTGGGACAGCTGGTCGCCTCTTGTGTAGCCACAGGGAGTGGTGTGGTCAGCTGTCTCGGTGGCACGGAGCAGGTCTGGGGGCCCTGGGAGAAGCATGGAGGAGAGGACATGGGCCCCCAGGCCTTTTCCCCCTCTGCTGACTGCGTTGCTCTGGGGGGTGGCCCACTGCTCTCCCCTGGCCCTGTGTCTGCCCTGAGCTGGGGGCACACCCGCCTTGTTGTGCTTGCGACGTGCATCAATAAACCACCATGGCCTGAGAGCCCCGAATCTCTTTGAGCTCTGGGAGGGGTGGGGTAGGCAAGTTGTACAATCACAGAGGAACTCAACTGGGGATGTCCCCCAGGACAAGACATCTGGAACTGTCTCCAAGGTGTTCCAGATCTTGCTGTGGGAGGCAGGGCTCAGAAAGCAGAGCCGTATCTCTAGCTTAGAGGGGACTTTGGAGGTCTTTTGGTGCTACCCTGCACTTTGCGGAAGGGGAAACTGAGGCCTTATGAGAGGGGAACCTGTGGCAATCTGAAGACCTTAGCAAGGTCCCCTATTTGGAGCCCTTCCCAATGCAGCAGCCTGCCACTGCATCAGACCCAGATGCTACTGAATTTCCCTCGCCCAGAGCCCAACTCTCCCCTCCCCAGCAGGGCTCCTCATTTGCAGATCTGAGTCATCTCTGCGTCTATTATTATGGACTTATTAAAATGATCTTCTGCTGGAGTAGAAAAGCTCCAGAAAAATTAGAGTCACCTCCCTGACACTGCCTGGCTCAGGACCAAATGAACATGTGTCATCCAGAGCTTGGGGCACAGCCTCCTTGGGCTAGGGAAATGCTGAAGGGCAAACGACCGCTTCCTGAGGGCCTACTATGGGCCAGGCATTTGGCCAAGTGCTTTCACACACATCAGCTTATGTAGTCTTCACAATGGCCCTCTGCCATAGTATTCCCATTTAACAGATGAAGAAATTGAGGCACAAAAAAGTTAAATAAAAGGCTTGCCCATGTCTTACAGCTGGTAGGCAACAGTGCCTGGATTGGATTCAGAAGCTGGAATCTTCCCATTCCACTGTCCTGTCTCCCCTAGTGTCTGCCAGGAGCCACCTGAGCAGTAAGACTATGGGCAGGCTGGTCTCAGCACTTGGCCCTCTCAAGGGTCTCCCCTCTACATCTCTTCTGGCTGATCAAGGCTGCACCTTGATCCTGAATAACACCAGGGGGGGCTGTGGAGTCACAAATGCCAAGGAGCCTTCTTTTAAAGGAGTAGTGGGCAGCACTGGGTGTCCAGAATTCCACAGACAGGGAATGACTTCCAGGGCCCATCCTTCCCTCCTCTGGTCAGGAGACCCCCAACCCACCCCAGAGGGGTTTTCAGAATCCTTCAGAGGTGCAGGCTTCAGTCTTCCTTTTGTGAACCCTCTGGGTTTCTTAGGGAAAGATTGGCTCCCAGTGTCCTCTTTAGTGGGGGATGAAGGCAGCGAACTGAGGGGGGGGGGTGGAGGTGGGGCCGCACGTTGTTTTCCCCAGAGAGCCTGCTTCTCGTTGCTCTCTCCAGATGGCTGCTCTGCTCTGCTCTCCGGTTGCTGGAGGCGCTTGTCAGAGCTGGGTCAGGGCACTGGCTGGAATCTGCCCTGAGGTCCCTTCTGGCCCCTGTCCCTCTAATCTGACCTGGTGGAGGGAGAGAGGTCTACGTGCGAGTGCGCGTGCATGGGCACGCGCGCGCGCACACACACACACACACACACACACCACCTCCCTAGACTGGATTTAGAAGACACACATGGCTGCCACAGAGAGCCACAAAGTGAGGGATAACCCTGGACTGTAGCTGCCACCATCCAGCCGAGGGCCCCAAGTTAGCCCTGCTCCAATGCAGGCAGGGAGGGAAAATGAGGCAGTGGCCACCACGGGGTGCCTCCGGGTTACAAGCGGGGTGCTCTGCCGTGCGGGCACAAACACACAGACCCACCCAACGCATACACATGGCTACGTGCCCTCGTGCCCCCAGCTGTCGGTCTCTGTCTCTCCGCTCTGCCCATTCCTTCCCTACTGGGCCAGCATCTTTCTTTTCATCTTGGATGGATGACAGTCTCCCCAAGGTAGTGGGTAGGGAGGAGCCAGCTCTGGGGACCCTCACAGTTTCGTATGGTTTTGGTATGTGTCTCTTCTCCATGTTAGGAAAAAAGGTGGCTGGGGTCCCAAGGAAAGGGATGAGGAGGGACCATTCCCCCAAATGGAGGGAGGCCTTCAGGAAGCTGAGCTGAGGTGATTGGCCGTAAAATAGCTTGGCCACAGCATCTGGAGGAGATTGGAACCAGATGTTCTGAGGTGGGGGAGGGGAGGGTGTGGGACTGGGAGGAGGCTGGAGCAGGAGAAGCAGGCTGGTCAGTAGGAGGCTGAGTTGGGGGGCCTCGTGGCTCTCTGGAGAAAACATCTGGCTGCCCTCTCCCCACTCCCCAAGTCAGCACTACTATTTTTGCAAACTGGAGCAGCAAATCTTTTCACAGATTCTAGAACAGCCCTGTGTGTAGGGACAGTCAAGCACAGGGTGTGACTTGGGAGGTGCCCAGAAAGGCTACCAGCTAGCCAGAAATGTCTCCTGCTGCCCCACAAGCCCCGCCTTGCTGTGGGCTAAGCACGGCCTTCTCTGGCAGGAATCCTTCTGCCCTCAGCTCCTAATGCTCAGCTGGAAACTAGTGTACCCAGAAGTTTCCTTTTTGCATAGAAAGAGAGTAGTCCAGGAACTGGAAAACTGTCTGGTAGAGGGAAGGAAAAGAAGGCCCATTTATGGAGAGCCTCCTATTTGCAGGCACTGTATCAGGATCTCCTCAAAGGGCATCTCATTGCTTCCTTGCAACCCTGAATGTGTTGTCATTCCCCCGTCTAGATGAAGAAACTGAGGCTCAGAGATGTTAAATGACTCACCCAGGGGCACACAGCCACCAAATGGTAGAGCTTGTGTTCGAAACTGGCTGTTTGCATGCAAGCTTTTGAACTTTTCGTGACACAGAAGCAGATAGGGGGAGGAGGAGGGGAAGGGAAAAGGGGGAAAGAGAAGGAGGAAAGTGGTGGTGCGGGGCCTGTGACTTTCCTCCTACTATAGTGGAGCCACACTTGGCCCTAGAAGATCCCCCACCCCCTGCTGGTGAGGAACCCCGCCCTCTGGCTGCTTGGAGACTAGACCCTGGGTTTTCTTGTCCATCTCAGCTGTGGCAGGAAGGGTTGCCGAGGACAGGGGAGAGGCTTGGGGAGCAGAGGCCCAGGGAGGAGGCAGCTGGCCAGCACCACTGGACAAAGGATGGCAGAGCCACGTCCCCTGGCTGCCAGGCTAACGCTGTTGTCCCCGCCTCTGCGGGCTACAAAGGTGCTCCCAGAGGCAGGAGTCTGAAGCTCCAGGCTGTGCGCTAATCTAGAGCTGGGAGCACAGTCAGGGGCAGGTCCATCCCGGCTTTTCTGTTCCTGGCCATGCCCTCAGGACCAAGGGGGCCCTCAAGGACTTGCAGACAGTTGTAGGAGCAAGGGGACCTTCCTCTGACATGGAGTCAGCTGAGCTGCTGGGCAGCGCTGCCCGGAGCTGATCTAGTCTAGAACCCTGAAGCAGCCAGAAGGTGAGGGTGGGTGGGGTTCTGAGAGCACATGCATTGATTAAGTTCTGGAATATGTATCAGTGGCCTGCGCCCAGCTCCTGAGCAGCCTCCACCACCCAGAGGCAGCCTCCGAAGATGGGCCCAGAGCGGACAGGGAAGGCCCACCAGCACGGTCCCTGCGTCATTAGAGGGATCTGAGTCTATGGTGGTAATGGAGTCTTGGGACAGGCTGTGGCATTGCTGTTCACAGAGTGGAGGGCCGGCTACTCTCTGTGGGCTGGAGCCCTTAAGTCTGGGTGGGGTTAGGATCCTGGCTCTTTCTGGACATGTGGCTCGTGAACTGGGAGTATGGGCCTCTGAGCTTCAGAAGAACATGGAGGGCTGGTGAGAGAGCTGTGACCACTGACTACAAATTCTGCTGTGGAGGAGCTGATGCCAAGTTGGTTGGCCAAGTGTCTGGGTGAGATGCCCAGGCAGCTCCAATGGTCTGGGGGCCTTTCCATCCCGCTCAGGGCCTCCAGGCTGTCCAGAGTACTGAGGTCGGAGGAGGTGGGGGCAGGGAACGGTGGCCACGACGTCACAGGCTGTGACCTCCCTGGAACAATAGGCGGTAACCCTTCGGCCCATCACCCCCTCCCTTGCAGGACCTCCCGGGCTCATCTGCCATCAGGACTGGATGAGAGAGCGGCAGCCTGACAGTGGGAGCAGGCCAGCTTCCTAGAAGGAGAGGGTCCTGCCTACACATCGGATGCCAGCAATGTGTCTGGTTTCTACTACTGCATTCTGCTAAAAGGGCCTGTCTGGGGTGCACCATACTATGCTGCTGCCTGGGGGTAGGTCCCCTCCCACAGTCCAGAGAGCATCTGGCCCAACACGGGCCTCTGCAATAGGGAGGGGCTTGAGGCCAGGAAAAGACCTACAGACCCACCGAAGGATCTCAGGGAGCCCCAGGGCTGGGAACAGGATGCCTGGCCCTCTCTGAAATAGGGGAGTGGCCAGCCCAGGCCAAAGAACCCAGGTCCTCTCTCTGCTTTCTTGCCCCTTGAGATCCATGAAGAGAAAAGAGAGAGAGAGGCTCATCTGAATGGAGGGAGCAGGGATGTGACTTCTCTCCTCCTGGCCTCTGGGAATCAGGTCTGGGCCTCACTGCTGGCTGGGGAGGGAGAAGGCCATGGCAGGAAGGAGGAGGCCACCGAGACACAGCCTTGGGAGAGGGGGCCAGAGCTGGAATGTTTGCTCAGTGGCTGCTGAGTGTCTGGCTCTTGTCTGCATGGGAAGAGAAGGACCCGCAGGGGGCCAGCACTCAGTGTTTGACCTTCAGGAAGGCAGAGTTTCAGGGCCAGTTCATGGATCTGTTCAGGCTGATGCCAGTTTTCTGGCTTCTGGTGGGCTCTCCCGGGACACCCTCCAGCCCACCCACCCCTTTCCCTAGACAGAGACAGAAAACCCGGGTGGACACCAGCTGGACAGACAACATGCCTAGCCCCTTTTACATATGTCCCCCTCCCCCCCCAAACAGCCTCTTTACAGGATGTTCCACTGCTCATGTCGTGTGGGAGGGCTATGAGCACTGTGTGTGTGCCGTCCGCCTACGGGCTGAAGTGCGCGAGGAGGCTGTGTCTGTGTGTGCCCGAGTGTGAAATCACACCCTCAGGGGTCCTGGAATCGAGGGATGGAAGGGCAGCCAGCGAGGCCAGGTGTCCCGGCTGCGGGCCGCTCCCAGACACAGCCAGCCTGCACATCTGGAATGAGATGCCCACCCCCCACACCCCCTCATGTTCCATACAGCATCTGGCACGAGATACTCGCTGTAACATTTTCCGTTTATTGGCTGGGGTGCCCTGGTGTGGCTGACCAGCCGCTGGGCCCGAGACAAGCCCTGTCTCATTCCCCCACCCCCTCCCCTGCATCTCCCCACTGTGGCTCCCGTGGGACTCATATGGAAACTCCGGCCCCAGGAAGTGGGGAAGTGGGGGCTTAAAACAACCAAATGGAGGTTGGAGAAGGGGTGGGGAATGTACGTGACAATGAAGATATGCCACCAGCAATACACAACACAGCGTGTGGGGAGGGCAGGGAAGCTGGGCGGGCCTGCTGACAGACGCTCTCCCCAGCAGGCCAGGCCCCCAGAGAGCAATGGCTACTTCAAGTGTCTCGGTGAAGGCTCTGGCTCCCGGCCCTGGCCCCCTTGCTCTGGTGGGGGCAAGGAGGAAGGGATCGTGAAGGAGTCCAGTTCCCCTGCCTCCTGAGGACAACCTCGCCTGGACCGTCGGCCCGCAGGTCCCGGCACCCGGGGGACGGGGCGCCCACCTCCCACTGTGCGGTCCAGGTGACTGAGGGCAGCAGGCCTCCCGTCCCCAACCCTCCTCCCCCCCCATGAGGGCACGGGTCATTTTCTGCTGTGCAGTGTGTCCTGGAACTTGGTGCTGGTGTACCGCAGGTGAAAGCCTTTTTTGGTGATGGTGTCATCTGAGTGGAATTTCACCAGGACAGAATCTCCCGCCGAGTACACCTCCTCAGGAGGCTGACAGAGGAAAGGAATGGGCATGAGGCTGAGGCTGCTATTGTTCCTCCCCAGGATCCCCTGCTCTAAGGAAGGCGGGCGGCTCCCAGACATTCACCAGATTCCCCCAGCCCCTTGAAGCAGGAGGAAGACTATTGCCAGTGGGAGTTTAAGGGGATGCCTGGAGGAGGGAAGAAAGCAGGGGACAGAGGAACTTGTCTTAAGTTCAGAGTCACACTTCATTCTAAACCCAGCACTGCTATGAACTAGCTAGTTGTGAAGTCTTAGCAAGGCACTGCTCGCTTCTGGGCCTCGTTTCCCTCAAGGGCAAATGGGAGAATTGCTCCCTGCTCTCCAAGCCTAGAAGGGCTGGTGGGGGGGGGGGAGCAAATGAGAGGATGATTGTGAAAGGGTTTTACAAAGGGAGTGGGTTCTGAGAGGCTGCCTTCTCACTGTCTCAGCTGTCTCCTGGGGAAGACAGGACAGCTGGGTCCCCCAAGTGCAGATGTGCCCATGCCCCTCCTGTCCTCCCCCGGTTCTGGCCATGGTCAGCTTCAGGTGATGCCCTTTCCTAGGCTCCTGCGAGCCCCTCCTCACCTCTGCCTGCAGGACCTCCAAGTGAGAGCTACCCGCAGAGCATCAGCACACAGATGCCCTGGCTCTCAGGGCATAGAAAGCATCATTTCCGAGAACCTTGGGGACATTTCCAGTAACCTTGCCAGGAAGCCCTGACGGGATTGGGTTCCTTTCCCAGGTCCCCTCCCGTTGGCTCCAGCCCGGTGGAAGTCTCTGGAAGAAGCCACCTGGGGACACTGGATTTGATGTGTGGCTCACTGGAATGTGCCAGATCAAGGGAGTTACAATGGGCAAAGTGGAGAGGGGGTGCTGGCTTTGCAGCCAGGGGATTCCAGAGTGGTGAGCCAGGCAGGAGAGGGGCCTGTGTGCTCTGCTCCTGCCCCACCTCCCCACCTCTCCACCCTGTCCCAGTCCTACAGAGGCTGAAGCTCTGTCCTGAGGACACATTCAACGGACTAATGGTGGGTCCAGTGGATGCTGCAGCTCTGGGAAGTTTAACCCTTCCTAGGGTGCCCAGGTTGCCCTGGAGCATGTCCATGAGACAGGTGAGGGACCAGGGAGGTGACGGGAGGGAGGGGGTGTGTGTGCATGTGTGTGTGTGGGTGTGGTGTGCATGTACCCGTGTGTAATGGTGTGTGCGTGTGGTGTGCATGTGCCCGTGTGTAATGGTGTGTGTGTGTGTGGTGTGTGCATGTGCCCGTGTGTAATGGTGTGTGTGTGTGCGTGCACTCGTGTGTAATGGAGAGGGGAAGATGATGTTCTCTGAAGGGGGAAACGATTCACAAAAACAAAAGAAAAAAAAAAAACAAAAGAAGCCACAAGCTCTGACTGAGAGGAAAATAAATCCACCTTTGTGGTTTCCCGTGACCTCGGTTAAAATCCCATGGAGCAAACTTTTGCCCACTGCCTCTGAAAGTGCCATTTTTATGGACCAAGAAGCAGTGTCCCGCATCTGCTCGGACAGTAGCACCAAGGGCTTTGGGACCAGCTGGCCTCCCGCCAAGAAGGGTACCTGGCAGTGGAAGAGATGAGGGTGTTTTTATGGCTCAGCCAGAATGACTGCTTAGCACAGTTCGGCTCAGGCCCCAGGTTCCTGGCTTTTGCCCCAGCCTCTGCCCCTGATCCTGGGCCCTGGTAAGCTGCCTTGGGACTGGAACAAGGGATGAGGGGGGCAGAGGGAATTCCATCCTCCTCCCCAGATGCAAGCCACCCGGTAGGTCCAACCAAACTAGTGCTGAGCAGGCTTGGGTCAGGGCAGGGCCTGTCCCAGAGGCTGCAGAAACCACAGTGTTGGCCAAAAAGGGACCGAATTTCCTGGGTGGGGATGGCCCGGGGCAGGGCGGGCCTCCATGAGCAGCCACCCACCAGGCAGGGTCTCTGGGCTCCTGCAAGGGGCCGGGCCTGGGCTACCACCCACCCTGGCACCCCGCATGGGCGCCGGACGGAGGGGGGCGGGGTCTCACCCCTGAGCCGCAGTAGCGCCCCAGTCTGGGGGCTGTGCCGTCATAGCCATCGAAGAGCTCCATGTAGTCGTAGCCACAGTCTGTCTCCTCCTCCACCTCGAAGGTCTGGAACACCAGCTCCACGCCATAGCCTTCCTCTGCCACGATGACCCACTCGCAGTCCACCCCCCCGGGGTAGTTGTTGTCACCAAACTGGGCATGGGAGTAAAGATCCTTTGTCTTCACCTCTGCCCGCACCTGGCCTCCGCACTCTGTGGGAGGACAACGAGATCAGCCAGCATCTCTGAGCATAGCCGAGGGCCAGGCGCTGCACCTTGCCACGCCGAACCCTCGTGGCTGGATGGGGGGCCACACGGCTAGTGGTGGGCGGCTGTGGACCTGGCCCAGGACGCGGCCCACGACAGGTGCTCTGCTGCTCCGCCTCTGGACCGATGCCCACAGAGGCCCGGGGACACACCAGGCTGTTAGTCAACTCTGAGCAGAGGCACCGGGAGCAGGGGGCACGCTTGTCAAAAGAGGCCATTGCTAATTTGCTCCTTCTGACGGCTGCCCTGGAAGAATGTGGACCCTGCATTGCCAGAGCTTCCATTCTTCAGAGAGAAGAACTACATCTGGATTTTCTGTGAAAACTCTTGATTTTTAAATGTTGGTTCACATTTTTAAAAAACACAGTGTGGGCCAAACAGAGCACGTCTGAGGGCCAGAGAGAGTTCCGGGCCTCCAGTCTGTGACCCTCTGCTGGGAGGGGCAGATGAGAGCACGCAGGGCAGGGCCAGCGGCGCCCATCCTCCTGGGAAAGCCCTCTGGCCCCTAGGACGCCCGGTGCTTATGCTTCCCTGGAGGGGTGGGAAGGGGGTGGGACGGGACCCAGGGCAGGAACTGAGTTGCAAGGGAGGAGGGGAGGCTGTGGACCCATCAGTCCTGGGGACGCCCCAACAGGGGGCTCAAGGCCCACAAGGAGCCTGTGAAGCCCCCATCTGACACCCTCCCCAGCCTGGGCTCCAGCCTATCTCTGCTGATGCTTTGTTTCCACTTCATGGCTGTCCTCACACACCCGTTGTTCAGGCCAAACGAAATGACCTGCGGTCACTTGTATACATCCCGAGTTATGCTGGGGTTGTAGCTGGGCCTGGGCTCCTCCCCTGGCTGGAATGACCCCACCAACTCCCATTCGAAACTAGAGCTTATCATGTTTTGCCTCATGCTCTCTTTATCTGTGCATGTCCCAGCTCACCTCTGGACTGGGAGTTCCTGGGCTGAGGGTGGGGGAAGGGCTCCTGCCTGATTCATCACCATGTGCCCCGCTGAGGCTCACATGGGGCCACAGCTCAGCAAAGGGTTGCTGAATAAATGGGCAGGGGATCACTAATTCCCTGATTCCTAATTCCCTCCAGGGCCGAGATGTTTGCTTCCTTTTTGGGACAGGCACTTACAACACCGCCTCAAACATGTTATGTGTTAATAAGTATCTGTAGAATGAATGGATGAGTGACTTGTGGGGGTTGGAATGTGGGTGGGCTGCTGCATGGTCAGGCGTCCTACCGCTGGGGACTCTGGGGCTTCCCTCCCCATCCCTGGCTTCCCCACCCACTGTCGTCACTGCCCTCTGTTTTCCAACTTCCCAGCCCCTAATCAGGATCTCCCCCACTCTCCTTTTAGTGCTCCCTTTCTGCTCCCCTGCTCGGCCCTTGGAACACAGTCTCTCTCCACCCAGGCCACAGGCTTGGTCTAGCTGTGCCTTCACACGCTCTTCCTCACCCTCCATGGGAGCCTCCTGAATCTGGGCCTGCCTCTGGGGCCAGGACCAGCAGATGGCTGCAGAACAAGACAGCACGAGGGCACTGGCTGCCCAGCGCCCTGGCCTGAGCCGGCCTCACCTGTGGAGTGGGACGCCTGGAAGCCCTTCCTCTGGACGGAGTTGTCCGAGTAGAAGCGCAGGAACATGCGGCTGCCTGTGGCCAGGACCGGCTCGGGCTTCTTGCTCCCACAGAAGCGGCCCAGGACAGGGGCCTTGGCGTCACGCCCGTCATACACCTCCAAATGGTCATAGGCACACTCGGGCTGGGACTCGATGTCCATCTCCACGAAGGTCTGGAGGGCACGAGGGAGGACAGCAAACTCAGAATGTGGCTGGGGGGGCGGGCAGCAGGTGGCTCCAGCTCTAGGCCTCCGGACCCCAGCTCCTGGAGACCCAAGGAAGTGGTCACTGCTGGTGGCACGGCTGGAAGCAAGGAGGGAGGGCCTGGGGGGGGCAATGGCAGGCAGGGCCTCTGTCCAAACCAGATGGGGGGCTCACTAGGATCCTCAGAGGGGTGACAGCCCTGCGGGCTCAGCCAGGCCATCAGCCTGCAGTCTGCATCGCTCTGAGTCACCCAGGGCTTTGGAGCCGATAGGAAATAGGCGGCGGCCGGATGGCATGCAGGAGCGGGGCGCCCATGCGGGCTGGGGTGTGGGCGCCTTACCAGCTTGACCCGGTGGCCGGGGGTGCTGGAGATAGCCCAGGTGCACTCCTTCTTGCTGGGATATTTGTCAGGCCAGTTGGGGCTGGTGATGGTGCCGCTAGTGGATGTCACCTTGTGGTCACAGCCAGCTGTGGGGAAGTGAGGGGAAGGAGATCAGCAAGCACCCCGGGGCTCCAGTGCCCCCGTGAGGAAAGGAACAAAGCCCTTCCCTCCTGCCCTCCTTGCTTCTTTCTCCTGTCCCTCACCTGCCAACGGATGGAAGGCTTACATGACTTCTTTTCTGTTCCGTTACCCATAGGCGGGGAAATCTAGCTGCGGGCTTCTGTGCAGGGCCCTGCCTGGTAGCATCCATGGAAGCCCCCCTCACAGCTGCCCCTGTGCAGAACCCTGGATCTCTGAGGCCATCTGGCCACACCCCCTCTGCCCTCCATGATGCTGTCATCCTTTGGTCTCCTGCCACACCTCCACATTCACAGAAGACTTTGGCACCTGACTCAGTTCTCTACCCACTCCTGCTGCCATCCTAGGGCTGGCCTCTCTGTCCCTGATCTTCTCAGCTCTACTGGTGCTTATCTTCTTCTCCTTGAGGTGGGCTTGCTTATGACCTTACTGGGCCTTGCCATTACCCACCATTTCCTCATGCTACAAATATCACCTCTCTGTGACCACCTCCTGTTCTTCCAGGGTGCTCAGGCCCTCACTGTCCGTTCACTGCTTCTTCAGCTTTAGAGAGCCCTCCATGGCCTTGATCCTTCTAGTGTCTCCCAATATTTCCTCCTTGGTTGACTTAACTTACTTTCCTATCTGGCTGGACCACACGGCTGATCACTGCCGCTACTCAACACACTGTCCTTAACTACGCCATCTTGGAGAACCCCATCTGTGACCCCAACCACTGGAGACCCAAACCACTTGATACTCTTGGATCTGTCCCTCACCAGCTCCACCTCTCACCTCCTCAACTCCTCAACAATGGCTCCAAACCCTCAGCCCTCTCAACTCCCAGCCCCTCCTACCCAGAAGACCAGCTCACCTCCTGCCTTCTTGAGAAAATCAGGGCCTCAGATAGGAACAACTTCAACTTCCTGGCCCCTACCTGCAAACTCACCTTCCCCTTTCCTTGTTTCTAAGAAGCTGCCTCTCCTTCTGTGAGCTGGAGCTCACTGTCACCCACCACCTGGGGACCTTTGTACCTCACATTATCCACCCTCACTCTCTGTGCTGGCTCTACCAGCCTGTGGGCCTTCCTAAGCTTTACCCCATCCTAAAATAGCTCTCCCATGGCCCTACGTTCCCCTCCGGCTGCTGCCCGTCCTCTCTCATTTTCTTCTCAGTTGACCATCAAGAAAACTTGCTGTCACCCCATTCTCACTACTTAAGGTTCCTCGATCCATTGCAATCTGCCGTCTGCCTCTGAAAGTGTGGCCTCCCAAACAAATTTAAGAGCTGATGCTCATTATTTATTATCATCCAATTTGACAGGTGCCTCCGGGGAAAACGGGCAACCAGTGCACTGCGGGCTGGGGAGGAGAGAGGGACGGGTGGCTGCCTACAGTCAGCGGCTCATAGGACGAACGCACAGCCACGAGGCCCTGAGAGCAGGGGGCGGGCCTCGCAGAGGCTCCGGTTGGTGGAGGCACGTGGAGCCCCTGGCTCTCCATGTTGGACCTGTGGGCTGTGTCTGTCATCCTTCTGTGGTTCCCCACCCACACTTACTGCC